CAGCTTTGGTGAGCCTCGGTTGCCGCAAGAAGGATTAGTCGAGTCGGGGGTCAAGGATCTCGGAGTCAAAGTCGACGAGTTGGAAAAGCAAATTGCAGAGACGCAGTGGGTGCTCCAGAAGAAAGAGAAAGAGTTAGTAGAGGAAAGGAAGCACGTTGAAGGAGTGGAAGACGAGCTGATCGAAGCCAACGAGGCTCTTAAGAAGGAGCGGATGCACAAAGATGCCTTGTCTAAGATCATCGATGTAATATCTGACGCCATGTCTCAAGGCACAAACACCAAGTTGCGCATGCTCAACAACCTTGCTCGCAAACTAGCCGCCCATCCCGACACTGAAGATCTTCCCTTGAAGTTCCTTCAGTTGTTATCGCAGTTCATCACGAACAAAGAGTCCCTGGAGCGACAGCTAGCAGATAAAGACCACGAGATTGAGATCCGTGAGAAGGCTATGAGAGCAAATGAGGATGAGACGGGTATGATGAGCCCATTAAAGAGCCCGCGACAGGCTGATCGAGATGCGTTTGAGAAGCTATTCAGGGAAGAGCGACGCAAGCGCAAAGCAGCGGAAGGCGCGCTTGAAAAGATCCAGACGAGCGCAGAGAAAGATTATCTCTCACAGCTCGAGCAAAAAACCGAAGAGCTCATCAAGGCGCAAGAGGAGACTGCAACGCTACGCAAGCAAGTCCACCATCTGGAAACCCAAGCCAAGGCATGGCAAGAAGAATCCGAGGACGCAAAATCCCAACTCGAGAAACGCGCCCTCGCTTTCGAGGAAACCATCGCGCGTCAGAAACAAGAGTCCCTCACCTACATCCGAGAATACCACACCAAAACCCAAGACCCAACACACTGGCAAGTCCAAGGTTTACAACAGAAACTCGCAGATTTGGAACAAGACCTAACCACCACCACCAAGCTCTTCAACGACACCAAAAGGCAAAAAGCCCATCTAGAAGACGCCACCAAAGAACTAGCCGAGACCAATATCCTGCAAATGAATCACATCGACCAAATCCAACAAGCCTACATGCGCGGCGCAAAGCTACCCACCCTCGCGCCGCCACCCATGCCCTACGACGAAGAAGAACAAGACCCCAACGGTGAACCCCCCGCCCTCAATCCCCCCTGGCCTATGGCAGCACAAAAAGAACCCCGGATCCCAGCCTGTCACCTCCCCGCCGCCATCGAGCGCCGCGCCGCCCTTGTCGCCGCATACCGCGAAGAACTGGCCCAAGCACGCCAAAAGGAATTCATCGCGCTGACCAAGACGGCGCCGCTGCTGATCCACAATGCTAATGTAGAGCGGGACGACGAGATTATGGAAAAGGTGAGGAAGTGGAAGTTGGGGGATTTGTATCCGCCGGGGAAGGAAGGGTATGAGGCGATTAGGGGGAAGAGTGCGTGGGAGAGGTGGGAGGGCCCGCGGTGGGCCAAGGAGAAGGCGAGTTGGGCGGAGAAGAAGGTTTTGGTGGATAAGGGGCTTTGGATAGGGGATTGAGGTTAGTAAAACTTGGCAGAGCGTCTGAGGATTAATAATGAGATCACTGTGAGTATCCCAGGCAGCAGTTGATCAGGTGACACCAAGAGACAGGTGGTAGTTCGTAAACAAAATGCACGCAACGAAACTATGCATGTTGCTCTTACGATAATATATGCTCCAAACTCTTCTTCCACTACGATGCGAGACCACTACAATGCCTCAGTGTGAGTGTCATCACCTTTTTCTTTCTTAACGACCTTTTCAACTTCAGCCCGCGCCGTGCCCTTGGCCTGCGCGGCTGCAACATGTTCGATGTCACGGTCGAGGTTTTCGCTGCCCTTCTTGGTCCTCCACGCATGTGGGCCTTCTTTGCTGAACAGAAACTCAACTTCTTCCAGAGTCTTACCGCAAGTCTATACAAAGGGTTAGCGAACATCCGAGCCAGATATATGTGACTTGTCTTACCTCGGGGTATGTGAAGAAAGCTTGGACTGCAGCGAGCAAGCAAAGTATTCCGAAGACGACGAAGACTGCCCACTTGATGTTGACGAATGCGGGTGGGATGAATAGTCCAATTGCGAAATTGAAGAGCCAGTTGCCTAGGGAAAGCCGTTAGTCAATCGATCTTTGATATACCATCAGGTGTTCGCGCCAAGGAATATCTGACACTCGCACAGGGACCTAACTTACCAATTGCGGCGATACCCATTCCAGCAGCTCTCGTCTCGAGCGACCATACCTCAGCAGCGTACACCCACGCGATGGGGGCAAGCGTGAGGGCATAAATGATGATCAAAAGATAAGAAAACGCGATGACGGTGTGTGCCGGAGGTCCTTCGACAAGCATAACAATGTTATCATCACCTCCCACACCCTCAGGGACGTAAGTGTAGTGAGCTCCGAGCGTCCCGCCGACGACGAAGTGGCAGAACCCCATGCCAATTGCGCCCCAAACCAACAGCGTCCTTCGGCCAATCTTGTCGACGAAGAAGAACATGATCGTGGAGAATATGATGAACAGTGCATATTGCACACCGGCGGATACCAGATTTGTGTTACCCTCAAGACCGGCCATCGCAAAAACGTATACGATGTAGTACCTATATTAGACTTAGTCCAATTTCCCATGTATATGAAGGCATCTCAATATCCTTACGTCATGATGTTGGCGCCAGAAAGTTGCTGCCATGCCTGTACGGAGAAACCTGCCAGCGTGCGTTTCCACATGCCGTTGTAAACGAACTTTCTCCATCCTTGGGGGGCCAGACGCTCGGCAGTAAGAGCAGTGATGATCTCCTCGTACTCGGCGATAACATAGGGGTCTTCGATATTGCCGTTGGCTTGAATAGCTGCGAGAATGTGGATCGACTCCTCCGCGCGATCGACCTTGGCCAGCCAACGAGGGCTCTCTGGCAGGAAAGGTAGACCGATCATGAAGAGCACGCAGGGAACGAATTGAATACCCCAAGCCGTGCGGAATGACGCTGACTCTCCAGGGATGAAGGAGCACCCATAACCGATGAAATACCTTGGACGGGTTAGCTTTGCTTTGCTTTGCTTTGCTTTGTCGGGCACCTTGCTCACATGATAAGAATACCCCACTCGATGGCGAGCTGTTGGATGATGATAATGGCACCGCGCTGCGAATGTTTTGCAATCTCTGCGAGGTATACGGGTACCTGCGACGACGTAATACCGACAGTTACTCCGTTCAGGACGCGTCCAGCAATAAGCATGCCTCGACCAGTTACCGCAACCTGAAGAGCGGTACCTACAAGCCACCAAAGACAGGCGAATAGGAGAGCGTCGCGGCGACCGAACTTGTCAGAGATGGGGCCGGCCATGATGGAACCGACAACTGAGCCCGCAGCCAGGGCAGATCCGATGGCTCCTTGTTCGATGCCCGAGGGATTGTCGAAGTAATTTCTGACATATTGTAAGTCGATGCTCGTGGGATGTTTCCTTGGAGTGAGGCTTCCATGACTTACAGATACTGGTCCGTTCCGATAATAGCGCTCATGGACGAGATATCGAAACCGAAGAGCATACCACCCATGGTGGCGACAATCGCCAGGAAATAGACATTGTAGATCTTAGGAAACTTTTCAAACATCTTGACGACCGCGAGCTCTCCAGAGCCTGAGTTGATGCGGAGACGAAATCAACGGGGCAGAGGCTGAACTATAAGCCCCTCAAGGTCGGCACTAGATGTCGGGCTTGCTGAACATAGTGGGCATACTCCCGTGAGGCAGCCTTCCCTGCTAAAGAGGATGCGCCGCTTGATGGACACTATGATGGCTCTCCCGTTGGCCTGTTAGTATGTAACATGCTCACGAGCAGTATAGCGGCCGTCTCCCGAACGTGCCGTTCTTTCCATCGGAGTAAAAATGCTGCGAGTCAAGTCCCGAATTGGAGTACCATTGGTGGAAAAATGTGTGTGGGAATCTGGGGTTCGCCATGGAGGTGGAGCCGATCGGCTGTGGAGAACTCCTCAACCGCGTCCCGCATGAACTGTGTCGTCAGCGGCGTGAGTTTTTATAATCGACGGCTCATCGTGCGACGGCTGTTATGATTCAACGGTGCATTAACCCCTTGCTACCGTTACATTTGACAAGCAAAGTGCTGGAAACGTTACCGAATGCGATATGACTTCCGCGTGATAATGCTGGTGATTGGGCGGGAGCATGGCACGAACCTGCGAGGCGAGATCCACATCGCGGGCGGCACCTGGGCAGACAACGCTCGCGAAGCTTGAATCAACTGAATCAACACCACGATCGCATGTTTAGACAAAGAGAAGTCACGCAAGAGGCGTAATGTAGATATTGGGTAACGATGTCAGATGTTGCAGAGATCGTCTGTGGTCGCCTACAAAGTATGTCGTGAAGGACGGGGTGGAGCACAAGCTTATGCATACGACCTCATGAGATATGCTCGTGTTCATGACAATTGTCGTGATGCTACTTTTCCTGTATCCACCATCAACTCACAGACCTCCCAAGGAATCATGATGCTCCTATGTCAACCTATGATAAGAAGTTATTGTCGTATACCCCAGGTGTTAAACTGATCACATCTGTTCTTATCTGCCAGTCTTGATCAATTCACAACTGAACCATGCAACACATGCCGAGGCAGACAACTGTCGTGCTTGTCACTTGAATAGCTCACGCCATCACAGTTTTGATGTAGACCCGACCGGAAGCTCAGATAATCAGTGTTTCTAGCAACTATCCTTCCATCCGAATCGTATGATCAAGTTTTATGTGATGCAGCGGAAATAATGAGTGTCTACCTCCGTTCCAAAATTTCAGGAGCTGGGAGGGAAAACGTCGGAATTGCGGTCCCGAAAACAGAATACGAGGAACCCTTGCTTAGTGCTTCCTTGTTGCCCCACCACTTCGACTCAATCTTTTCCTTCGATTGCTTCAGGGTCTTATTGCGCACCGAAGTGTAATTAAGATTTTATGTATTGTTAATTTGAAAGTCTTTCCATCAACAACTACAGTAGTAGTCATCTGGTCTTATGGTCTAGTGGTATGATTCTCGCTTAGGGTTTACCCGAGCATTGCTTGCGAGAGGCCCCGCGTTCGAGTCGCGGTAAGACCCCTTTTTTGCTCTTATTCAACTACATTTTTCGACAAAAAGTTGTGTGTGTGTGGTTGCCTGTGTCGGACGTCCTTTGCGGAAGCGGACTTGACGCAAACACTTTACCGTCTTTGCAACTTCCATCTTGCGATGTCTCTTTTTGCTGTTTCTTTTTGCTGTTGTGCTTTTCTTCTTGTTGATTCTTTCTTGTCGTGCCGGTCTAACGACATGGCGTGGTTTCTGTGAAGAGGTATATATATACCCAAAAGATAGACAATATCAGTGACAAGAAAACCTCACGTACGGTAAAGCAACACACTATGTATAATACCCTACATACTCTCGTGACAACGAGAAAATCGGATTTAAGCTAGGTCATCCTCACCACCAAAACAAAGAATTAACCACCCTTTCCACCACTAGGATTGATTATTCTTCTTCCTAAGTCTACAGAGCATAAGATTCTAGTCGCAACTTAATACATTCACCCTGAAAATGGTTGTGTTCTGATGTTCTAAGGACTGGGGTACTAGCTTAAATCCGGTTTTCTCGTTGTCATGAGAGCATACATGGACGGCCTGCACCTCATCCCCCGAAAACCCATGCAGCGGTCTCCTTCTCCAAACCTTGCCCTCCCGTACCGTACGTTAGTCTTCCCCAAACTCTATCGACATCCATCCCATCCGCCTCCTACCCACGCACCCCTAATCTAATTAATTCGCAAATAAGTTACACGATAAGGAAACCTAGGTATCCATCTTTGTTAACCCGTCGGCGGCTGCATCTTGCTTGCTTGCGCAGCCATATTTCTTCTATTTTCGAAGGCTAACGAACGCTCACTCAAAGAGGCGACTACATTTCGTACAAACAACGTTCGTACGTAGGTATATCCTCAGTAGCCGTAAATCCCGTGTTCGATGCAGTGCGAAACAGTATGAGCTGGATGAGACATATATACGTTTTATGAATGAAATCGATGATGTTCGCGGTTACGATTGTTCTGGTCGGGTATGTACCGGTGGTAACGCAGAACTTAGGCGTTACCTTGGTAGAGAAAGTGGAAGCAAGGCAATAAGTAGGTGAAATGAGGCATAGAGGAAGACTAGTGGCGGCTAGGTAGGGCGACGTGTGAGATATTTTGGGTTGTGGCGATTTTTTTTGTGGCGATATTTTTTGGGAGAGGGAATGTTGGTGTGTGTGCCTTGGTAGATGGTAAAGGGGTGTTCTAATAAAGTGGGAGAAAGATCGAGGTATAGCTTGTGCTTCCAATTTTTTTTCCCTACGTAGCAACGAGATACTGGTAGATGTTCAGAATAATGCATCAGAACTTTTTCCATAGGTACAAACACCGCGAAACATATTCCTAAACTCGTTAATAATTCCGCAAACGAATAATAAGCACCATGTCTGTACCTCGTCAACGCGCTATCCGCGGTATCACAAATTCTATTCTTCTATGACGCGACATTGCCGACGGAATTAGGATGTTTGTAGAAAGTCCGGTAGCTAGGTAGCACCTAGACGGACATGTGCACTCCTCTCGGCGTTACCTATGGAGTTTAGTAGATAACCACGATTCGGACCCGACAATCAGAAATCCGCGCGCCGAGAAAGATCTAGAGTGAGCCATATATAACAAGTCAGTTGGTAGACGCACAAAATAACATCAATTAAGAGTGATATCATAGTCTTCTCTCGCATCTACCTAAGGATTGCCCCGCCAAAGCTCATCAACTTCTCCCGAAACTTTCACGGACACTTCCATCATTCGCAACACAACACGATGCCAGAACTCGTCAAGAAGAACGTAGGGCCAGTCGGCTACGGCATGATGGGTAGACATTCCACTCTTCTTCATAACAATGCTCATTGACTAACATATCACAGGTCTCACATGGCGCGAGAACCCACCTCGGCAAGAACAGAGTCTCAAAGCTATGCACGCTGCGCTTTCTCAAGGCGCAAACTTCTGGAACGGCGGCGAGATCTACGGTACTCCAGAGCGCAACTCGTTGCACCTGCTCAACGAATACTTCATCAAGTATCCCGGCGACGCAGAAAAGGTTGTCCTGTCCATCAAGGGCGGTTGTACGCCAGGTGCGCCAATACCGGACGGTAGCCAAAAGAACATAAACCGCAGTATCGACGAGTGCCTGAGACTACTAGACGGCAAGAAGAGTCTTGATCTCTTCGAGTGCGCTAGGGTCGACCCCAATACGCCCATTGAGGAGACTATCGGCTACATGGCAGAGTATGTCAAGGCAGGCAAGCTCGGTGGCATCAGCTTGTCGGAGGTCAGCGCAGACTCGATTCGCAAGGCACACGGTGTGCATCCGATTTCAGCGGTGGAGGTTGAGTTTTCGCTGTGGTCAACGGACATCCTCGAGAACGGTGTTGCGGCGACGTGCGCCGAGTTAGGCATTCCTATCGTTGCGTACTCGCCCCTGGGACGGGGATTCCTTGTAAGCATACGCTTTTGCCCAGCAACAACTTACGGCTAACCCATTCCCCAGGCTGGCCGCTACAAGAAGCACAGCGACATCGAGGAGGGCTCAATCCTGCACATCATGCCCAGGTTCCAGCCCGACGTTTTTGATGAGAACATAAAGCTGCTTCATGCCGTCGAAGATATGGCAAACGCCAAGGGCGTCACACCATCTCAGATTGCCATCGGCTGGGTGCTCGCGCACAGCAATGCCAGGGGCATGCCTACTATCATCCCTATCCCGGGCGCGACCACAACGGAGAGGATTGAGGAGAATACGCAACCGGCGAAGCTGAACGACGAGGATATGAAGGCGTTGAATGGTTTTCTGAAGAAGTTTCCCGTGACTGGCGGACGGTATTGGAAGGACCACGAACACCTGTTGTTCGCTTAGGAGTCTGAGGTGTGAAGTCATGCGTCAGCTTTTGTAGTAATAGCTATACCGGAGGATAGTAAGAAATCGAGTCTACTGTGACCCAGCTCAGAGATTGTGTAGTGTATGGATTAATCCGCATTCGCCCTGCTGTGAGGCGGGGCGTTGGAATTGCAGAATCCGAATAGATCCTCATAGCGAGTGAGAAGATAAGAGGGAGCGACTTACATCAAGCGGTGAAAGAAGGATGGAGAGTAGTAATAAGAATAAGCTGGGCAAATTATGTGCTCCCAGCTGCCTGGTCCATGCGCTCCGCGATGCAACACGCTTTCCCCAAGACAACCGCGCCGACACCGCGCCGACACGGCCACCGATTCATTCACTCGCCCGACGCTCACACGCCACCATGGACTCGCCCTCGGATCTCTCAGAGTACGGCAGCGACGACTTCCCCGAGGACGTCAAAGGCGGCCATCTCAGCTACGAACCCACCCCCGACCACGACCCGCAGCGGCCGAGCAAGCGACCCCGGCTGAACATGCGCGCGCCCTCGTCGCCACCAGCGAATGTGCAGGCGCCGGTGCACGACGAGGAGGTGTACATCTCCGAAGACACGGATGGCTCGGTGCCTGCATCGCCGCACCACCACCCGGGCATGTCGCAGGAGGACGACTATGGCCAGGAGCAGGTCACCGGCTGCAAGTGGGAAGGCTGCATGGCCGGCGATCTCCAGAACATGGACAACCTCGTCGAGCATCTTCACGAGGACCACATCGGGACACGCCAGAAGAAGTACAGTTGCGAGTGGAGCGACTGCACTAGGAAGGGCATACCGCATGCCAGTGGCTATGCGCTTAGGGCGCACATGCGGTCTCATACGCGCGAGAAGCCATTCTACTGCACCCTGCCCGGTATCTCTCCCTTCTCTCCTGATGCAGTCATCGCGCAGCCGCTAACCGAGGCCATCAGAATGCGACCGCTCCTTCACCCGCTCCGATGCGCTGGCCAAACACATGCGCACCGTCCACGAGACGGAAGCGCTGCGGCCCTCTGACCCCGTCCCCAAGCATCACTCGTCGAATCCCACCAACAACAAGCAGCGCCTGAAGCTCGTCCTCAACAACGAAGCCAAGAAGCTACCACACGACAAGGCCTCGACCCCCGGCTCTCCCGCCTCGCATTCCCACCCACCCAACAGTGCGGCCCCACCGCCGCAAGCGCCCACTTCCGAAGCCGACTACGCCCACAACAACATTGTCTACCTCCAAGACCTCGCCAGCCCGAACGCGCCGACCCTCGTGCAATTTCCACCAGACATAGCCTTCACGCCCGAAGAGCTCCGTCTCCCCGCTCCGGAGCTCTTCAACCTACTCCGTAGACAGTTACGCTGGGCAACACAGGAGGGCGAGCAACTACGCGCCGAAGCCGAGCAGCTGGAGAGACAGCGACAGGAGGAGTGGCAGGCCAAGGAGCTGCTGTTCGAGAACTACATGGAAGCACAGGCAGCGACGGAGCGGCGGCGGCGGATAGAACGGGATATGCCGGAAGATGCCGAGGGTTGGCAGGCTGTGGAGAATGATGTGGCGCCTTCCAAAGCGCTCCCCATTCCACCCAAGGAGGGGAAGTTACCATGGTGGCGCCAGCAGCGGCCGAAGATCAAGGAAGAGGCTCCGCCACTGAGGCCGCCGCCGGCAGATATCAGGCACGAGGAGCTGCGGCCCCAGGTCCCTGCTGCTTAGTAAGCAAGGTATAGGCCTATCGCTCCACGTCCCGTTTCTGTAAAGGCACGATTTCTTCCCCTACCGCATTCCCACCTATCATTAGCCAAAAAGGATGCGCAGACACGCGCACCCAGTCGCCCCAAAAAATCCATAATCATTCATTGGTAAAGGCCAGGAGGGATATCTGCGTAGGAAAGAATAAGAGCTGAGTTGCGTTTTCTTTAAGCTTGTCTGGAAGTTGTGGGCTTTTCTTAGCCGTCAGAGGATTAGCTGAATCACTGAGTCAGCGGAAGTGGTCATCGTGTTAAAGATACCAAATCAATTCATACTGTCCTAGTATACAAGTTCACCCCTTTCCATGAGTAATTCCTAGTGCAAGTTTGCTGCACGCTTTTGCTTTTGGGCGCGACCGACTCCCGTCATGCGCCCGGTGCACCCATGT